TTAACCACTGAGCCATCTCTCCAGCCCCCTGTCTTTTTTCTTATAATATATCTTGATTGTATTATTTTACCTCCCCAACTTCTCCGGATTTCCCCCACACAACTTCATGTTCTTTCTCTTTCAGTGGAAAGAAAAAAACAAATGAAAAAGACAAAACAACCACCACCCTCACATATACACACAAAAAAGTAGATTCCATTTGGTGCTGACCAGCTGCTCCCCAGCATGGGACCTGCGCTGGAGTGTGGTTGATCTTTCCTCTTCGCTGACATAACAGCGCATAGCTTCTTTTGGTTAAGGGTAGGACTTTCTGTTCGCTTCCCCTTCTCTATGCTAGGGTTTTGTCTGGCTTGAACTTTGTGGATTCTTTTTTCTTCTATATATACTTATTAGATTTTTATCAAGATTACAGTATATACATATACATTGTAATATCTTGTTACTAAATGTGATTATATGTAGAAACACACAAAGTAGCGCTGTTAGATGTTAGGAGATCACAAAATAGTCATTTTATCCAGCCTTTGCCATTGGTGTTGATGAAGGAGAACGCTGATGTTTGTGTACATGTAGATGAGGGATGGTGGTTTTTGTTGAAATAGAGGCTAGGTCCAGATTAAAACTTGCTAGTACTGATGAGATTGGTAGTATTAATATCTTTATAGGGAGACTTACAGTTCCTAAAATACTTTTGACACATTTTAAAAATATGTGTTAAGTGGTTGGAGTTCTTTCATTTCAACTTGTGTTTTTAGTTATGAAAATTCTGAGGGCTCAGAAGCATATGCGATCCTTATGTGTAGTCACTTTACAATGAGACAGAGGCTAATATTTTGTTCTTTATACTTCAGAGACTTTTTCCTTCTTCTTTTTCTTTAAAGAAACAAAACCCTTCAGATACAGCCAATTTTCTTGTTCCTTTTGCCCATGGTAAATTCTCTTCTGAAGTTGACATATCATTCCTTAAATGCTTTTGTGTCTTTACAGCAGATTTGGGGTCATAAACAATATGTGCTAATATTTGTATGTTTTATATTTTCAATGTGCCCATTCCGGCCTTTTATATGTAAGGTCCATGCTCTATTACCAAGCTAAATACCCAGCCCTTTTTTTTTGGGGGGGGGGTTGTCAGTGATGGTGAAGGGCGGCCTGGCTTGTTCATCTGAACTGATCGCCAGGGTGTGACAGGAGTAGTACTCCTCACAGCCGGGCCTCACATATGTTGTTCGTAGACTATCCCTTAATTATATAAACAACCTGCTCATTGTTGCCGTGAACCGTCTGTATGTGGCCCTCCATTAATGGAAGGAGTCTGGGAATAGACCCCTCCACTGCAGTTTCTAGGTTGTATGTGGAGCAGAGGAGAGCTTTATGGAGGACAATTGTGTGGGAGGGGTTTCAGTGATCAGACTTAGGTGGATTACCTTACTCAGCACATCTCTTAACCTGCTGAGCTATCTCACCAACCCTTCTTTCCTTTTTCTTGCTTATAGCTTGTCTACAAATTGCTCTCGAAACTACTGTGTGACTTACAATACTTGTTAGGTAATATAATTATTTGGCGTATTGCATGTTTCTTGTTTGTTGGTTTGCTTTTGATCCCTTCACTAGGAGTAAGCTTAGCGCTGCCAATGGTGCCTTCCTTGTCTTTGCTTGTCATAGAATAGGCACTCAATGAATATTCATTAAGTGGATGGATTGTTTTATGAATTTGATCATCTAAAAGCTGTGAAGGTAGGTTAACCAGAAAAATGGGCTCTGATGGCTGTTTTTTATTAGGACGCTCAAGTGAGGAAACTGAATAGAGTGGCCAGCTGGCCTCTTTGGGCCACGTGCCTTTATAGCAATAACAGAACTCCTTTTCTTTAGGTTTGTTCATGCCTGTTTTGTGGTGTTGAGAACTTTTAGTTTTCTCTCTCCCAACCTCTCTCCAGAGAAGGTCTCTTGTGGCCCAGACTCTTATTGAGCTTGTGATCCTCCTGCCTCCACCTCTCCAGTGCTTAGGGTTATAAGTATAAACCACCATGCTGACTGATTGCCCCTCCTCCTCTTTGAGGCATGCGTTTTATGTGCTTTACAGTGTTCAGCACTTGGGGTATGATGAGATGTCATTCATGTTCGTAGAGTGAATGAATAGATGTGCTCCTTAACTCTGATTATCTCTCAAGTAGAACTATGGGTAATAAATGGCTAATTACAAAAAGCCAAAGGAAAAGACTTTTATTATAAGTAGATCTCAAAAGCCCACTTTCCCAAAGGTACAGCCATGTGTTCATAGGCTGTACCAGGAGAAGGTCCATGGAGAGGTTAGTCCTGTGGTCAGAGTTAACTTAGTAAAACAGCGGAAGCAGCCTCCTCTAAGAACAAAACTCAAGTTTCTAAACTTTGGATCTTGGTTTCCTTAGAATCTAGTCGAAGGAAAAAAGTGTACTGAGATCTCTGTGGGAGCTAGGGATGGCTCCTAATGTTTAGCTCCAGACATAAATGGGAATAAAAGGAATTGCTATAGATCGGATGGGAGTGCTTTATGGACATTGTATCATTAGTCTTGTCTACACCCCCATTATGTAGGTGGTAGTGTCCACATTGTATAGGTAAGGAATCTGAATCACTGAGTAAATTAGTTAAGCCACTTAGCTTAGGTGGGGTTTGAACCTAGTTCAACCTCACTGAAACTTATGTTCCTGTCTTGACCAGTTTTTCTCTGTAGCAGAAGAAAATGATTCAGCAGATATATGCAGACATTTAGAAAAGAGTAGGCGCACAGAAGCAAATATAAGTTCCATAAGCTCCCAGAGAAACCCCACAGCACTGATGGTTATAATTAAGCTGCCGTCTCCCTCTTGACCCAGGTTGATCTGTTTCAGCGAATTGTTTGCGTATTTGTAACTGATGACAGTCAAGCTTATACCTTGCTGCATGCAGCTTAAGAGTTCCATTATTTCTCTTTTCGTCATTGGGTTTGTAAAGGTTTGGTGGCTGCATTAACAACTTGGTTGTATTGTCATGGTTTTTGTTGGGGAACTGATTTACTAAATCTGTTTTCCTTGCTCTTTCTTGCTGTGTTTCATGTTGTCCATAAGATGGCGCTGCAGCTTTGTTGTCATCTTTAGCAACAGACTTAGGGGAGAGGCTCCTGCTGAAGTAGGTGGGGCAGCCTCAGGAGCGCTACATAGGAGCAGGGGCTTGAGGGTTTCTTTCATCTTTCCTTCCAGGAAGGTTAATTTTAGGTCTTCAGGGAAGGTGGGTAGGGCTATGCTGATAAAAGTTTTTAGTGATTATTCAGAGCTGGCATGGCAGAGAATTCCTTGAGCCCAGGGGTTCAATGCTAGCCAGAACAACATAGGAAAACCCCATTACATTTATCACACACACGCACTGGGGATGTGTGGCTCAATGTGGTGTGCTCGTCTCTGTCATGTACAAGGCCACAGAGCTGGCATGGCAGAGAATTCCTTGAGCCCAGGGGTTCAACACTAGCCAGGACACTATAACAAAACCCCATTACATTTAACACACAGGGAGGGTGTGGCTCAGTGGTGGTGCACTTGCCTCTGGCATATACAAGACCCTCTAATTCACAGCACTGTGGAAACAGAAAAGGGTAAAAGCTACAACAGAGAGGAAACACACATAGCTCTTTTCTCCATTCCATTCAGAGACAACCTTCGGGTTGTAGTGCGTTCTCACTTGTTAGACAGTGTGCTCTGCCGGTAGCACAGGGTGTGGTCTGTGCCGCTCACTTAAATGTAATTCAGACTTCGTTCCCTGTATCAGTTGAGTGAAAAATCACCTGAGTCTTAGTCCCGCCGCCACTACTCCCTCCTCCAACTGGCAGCAGGTGCTAGATTTCTTTGTTGCTCAACTGCAGAGTCCAGTTGCTGGTTTAGAACTGGGGGGGTGTCTTCTTGTTTCATATGGCTGAGAGCCGATTTCCCTTCCTCTAGTGATTAGAATGGAGCTGAAATGAAAGGTCTCTTTTATGCTTTAGGTATTTTTTGAGGCAGGGTCTCACTCAGTAACCCAGGCTAGCTTCAGACTTGCTTTGAAATCCTACTGTTTTAGCCTCCCAAGTGCTGAGATTACCGATATAAACCATTTTGCCTAGTTAAAATGAAGTCTTAGAAGGATTGTGCCTGGTGTTGTCACTTATTTAAACTTGGACAAGTTAATCAGCTTTCTTAAATCTGGATTTCTTTACTTACAAAATTGGGCTTCACGTGGTTGATATGAGAAACAGGATAATGCACACGCATGCGCGCGCACACACACCTTTACAGTATTTGGCACATACATAGTGTTTAAAATACGGTAGTGTCATATTTTTGTAAAAGCAGCATTGATGATTACTAATGAACAATTGTCAAATGCTGTTGGTGACCTGGCTTTTTATATTTTATTAGCAAGTGATCACCCGTCCATCGAGCTTTAACATACTATACTCATAAATCAATTTCCAGGTTTTTCATCCATATGTTAATGGCCATCAAAATTAATGGATATTTTTCTTTCTTTCTTTGGAAATGGCCATATATGCCACAGGAGATTAGATTGTCCATGCCCCTTTTCCTTTTCTTAATGGAAGGAGTCAGCTCCAGTCTTTCTTAGGTTAAAATATGATTACGTATATTTTACTTGCTATTCTCCTTTGGACATCTTGGAGCAGTGATTAAAACGTATTTCATTTTGGAGTTTGGGAGCCATAATTGCAGCTTCTCTGGTCTCATCTTCCCTTTCCCTTGCTGGTTAGTACCAGCTGAGCTGGTTTGCTTTCCCCCCTCTTTGATATTGTTCTCCTCCTCCTTCCTCCAGGGTACCTCTCTTCCTTTCCCCTCCCTTTTCCATTTACTCTTACGCTCTCCCCTCCTCCTCCCTCTCCTTGGTTTCTAGCTCCTTTTTGCGTTCTGTTTGTGTTACTGAGGGCAGTGCTCCAATTACCTCATATTTAGAGAGAGGAAACAGCAGCCAATCCGGTTTCTGTCTGCTTTTAGGTCAAGTGATTTCTGAACTGCAGTGAGATGCTTTGAAATTTGTCTTGTTGCAGCTCTGAGCCTGTAAGATGGCTGTCTGAATCGAGCGGCTGGAAGAGACAGAGAGAGGCGAGAGGCGGGGAGGGAGGAGAAAGGATAGGAGGGATTGCCGGCATAGTGCTTTTTTTTATTTTTTATTTTTTTAATGTGCATCGAATCCGATGAAGCCGACATTGGAATTTCTCTGGGATCCAAGGACTGATTTAACTGCATTTTTTTCTGAGATTGGGAGAGGAAAGAAATGGGAAATTCACTGGGCTGTGTTAAGGAGCCGAAAGAGTCCATAGCTGTTCCTGAGAAGGCTCCCATATCTCCCAAGAAGAGGGTTCGGTTCAAAAGGAAGTGGAGAGGGAAGAAAACCCCTATTCTAGAAGCACCTCACAAAGAGAAGCCTTTGGAAGTCACTGGAGTCATTGAAGAGACTAAAACCCTAACCAAGTTCACAGCGAGTCTCCCAAAGGAGCACGGAGTGGGAGGGGCAGAGCACCCCCCATCAGACATTTTGTTGCTTGGAGACTCAGCTCCCAACTCAGGGGTGGGCGATCAAGGGATGATTGTGCAGGTAAAGGAGAGATTCCAGGCAGAGATCCAAACTGCTCACCTTCTGTTGGAGGCTGAGTCATCGGTTGTTGGAGGGGTCTGGAGTTCCCTGGAAAAGGGTATGACAGTCATTGCTCACCTGCTTGATAACCCGGCGGAAAGGAACTGTGAGAAGTCTGTGAGCCAACTGGTGGAATTTCCGAGGACAGCATCCTGCAGCAGCAGGGCTGTGCTGCTGCCTTTGCAAGGAGAGACTGCAGTGGAACAGGGAAGCACGCTGCTTGGATTTCAGAGCGGCACTTTGCCTGGGACAGACTACCCCTCTGACACAGGAGATCAAGACCAACTTTCAGAGGGATGGAGTGTAGGGGGAAGAACCAAGAATGTTCTGAGTGCCCCTCCCACAGGTTCTTGGATTGCTAAGTATTCTATTGCTTCATCAATACAGTCAGTGGACCCTATTCACATAGAAGATACCCACGTGGGTGAAGTGTCCCTCCGGGGTCCTATATTGCCTGCTTCTCAGAGTGATTTATCTGTCGGTGGCATCACCGTGAGCATTTTGCCTTCTTCCTCTGGCTATGGCAGTGATGGGCTGCCCCTCCATGGGATCCGGCCTGAAGATACAGAACCTGAAAAGACCTCCACACCCTTCTCAGAAGAGGATGGTACCTTGTCTTTGGAGGCAAGCCATACTGATCGTGGGGTCTGGAGGAGGTGGGTGGTATATTTGGGGGTCTTTTGAATTCCTGCCTCTCAGGCATATTAAAGTAGAGTGGGGTAAACAGTCAGGGTCTTGGTGCATTTTAAACTTCGCACTGCATGGGGGATTGCTAGGGTTTGGCAAGCAGAATCTATTTGAGGTCTGTCCCTTGATGCTTAAAACCAAGTCTTGTTAGCTCTGGGGAATCCCAGGTTTTATATTTCCATGTAGTAGAATTGTTGAAGCTATCTGGTAGGATTATCTTTCAAGGTGCAGTGCTAGATATTCCGCATACTTAGACAGGGGTGTTGTTTTGTTTATCCCCTTTAAGAAGTTGTGATGTAGCATAAAGGGAAGCCTAGCTTAGTTCCTAAGATTGATATGGGGGCGTAAGGGATCTTGAAGGCTTGGGAGCAAGGCAGTTGTCTTCAGGGTGCTTGCTTGTCTCTCTGGAGAGTGGTATTCTTAGGAGAGCTAATGTAGTTTCTTCCCTGTGAGGTTATGTCTAATGATCACACTCGTGTGTTTGTATAGGAGAAGAGGGATGAGATTGGGGCAGCTTGAAATTTCAAAACTACAAAGTTCACTTTGTGATTGAACTTGTTTAGGGCTTTAATATGTCTTGTTTGGCAATGGTAATATTTCTAGGGCTCAAAAATCACATGAGAATTCAGAAAACTGGAAACCAAGGTACAGTCACAGAGCAATTCTGGGTAGCATACAGTATAGCATGTAGATCATCCATGGTTGAACATTTATTGGTGTATTGGCCTCTGCGGCATATGAAACACAAGCTCTAGAGATGCAGACATTTTTGTGTTGTGGCTAAGCTGTTGACTATGGACTGACATGTAACCTAAGAAATAACTTCGTAGGTTAAATGTGAAGTTCCTTCAGAATGAAAATCTTTAAAGCCACGGGGCATGAAACCTGCATCTTCTCTGTGTGGTAATGTGTCTTCAGGGACCTTGTCCCTTATTTGCCAACTATCCACAGGCCTACAGGGCAGCAACAGCTAGGAAGAGAGGGGGCAGCATGTTCTGACTACGTGGGTATTTGTGAATGTGGGGTGGGACTTCTGGGCAAGCATCTGTCTCGAGGACAAGCTCCCGCGGTAGAGTGGGCGCCTGAGGCCAGCACGATCGGAGGAGCAGCTGTGGCTGGTCACACACCTTTTGGCTCTGTACTGTTGCTTTATTGTGTTTTGTTTCTAATGTGTTAGAGTAATAATACATCTCAGAGAATAATGTGAGTTACAGGGTAGCATCTGTCTGCATAAACTTGTTCTGCCTCATGCTGTTTGGCTCAGGTGTGCTCATGGAGCTTTGGTGACACACAACCTTATACCATGAGTTTGTTGCTTTTCAGAAATGGAACTGCATGCCCATTCTTGCCAAGTGCATATTGTGGCCAGTGTACAGTTGGAACTTCTGTTATCAGGAACTAGTGAGAATAGAAGCAGGCGGGTAGAGGGCAGCCGACAAGCATGGCTTTCAGAGCACTGAGAAGACTGGGTTTGAAGCTGGAGGGAGAGCAGCTGTGCTCTGAGGTCAGACAAGGCCTTGTGTCCCTTCCCTCCTTCCAGGACTCTCTTCCTGTCTGCCGTTCAGTGTCTAGAACATTGGGCTCATTTAAACAAGGAAAACGGTTGGAAAATCCCTTCATCTTCCCATCTTAGCTCCTGCCCCCAGTGTCTTGCCCATACAGTTAGTGGATCCCAGTGCACAAGGAAGTGAGCTTCATATGTCCTTCCACACCCCTCAGCACCCATACAGTTTTGAGGGGGGTAGCTATATAAGATCCGGGGCAGCAATGGGGATGAGGTCAGCTGGTATACTGTTTTCTGGGCCTTTTTCAATCCTTTTCCCATTTCTCCTCTTTAATCATAGGGGAGTTGTTTTACTCACCTTGGTTTTATATTGCAAGAAAAAAAGCAAAACTCAACTAGACATGATATTACTGGGAAAATGTAGACAATAGTTTTGATTAGCATTTTTAAGCTTTTCTTTTTAAATATGTACTTAATTAAATACTGGGCGGGGTGGCTTGCACAAACTCAGCCCTTGGGAGATAAAGGCAGGAGGAGTAGCAGTATTTCATGGCTCTCAGCCACGTGGTGAATTCTAACCCAGCCAGGGGCCTGCTATGTGAGACTACCATCTCAAAAAACAGATCAAGCAAAAAGTTAATTAAAAACACATAGAATTATTACTTTGGACCTACAATAGTGATATTATCTTAAGAAACATTTGAAGACAATTACTGAAGTATTTATGGAGAAAATAATATATATCTTTTAATAGTAATAATTAAAGTCAATTGGACAGTGTGGATGAAACAAAGTAGCTATGAGCTAATAACGGTGAAACTAGGTGCTGGATGTATAGCAGCTTTTACTGTTACCTTTTATTATGTATTTGAAATTTTACATTTTCTAGTGATATTTTATTTGTGATCTAACAAATAAAACTTGCCTGAAAATCAGAGTGCTGAGTGAGCCACTTGTTAGCCATAGAGGCCAAGCAGTAGTGGTGCACGCCTTTAATCCGAGCACTTGGGAGACACATATCTTTAATCCCAGCACTAGGGAGTCGAGACAGGAAGGAATATGGCTGGGCGTAAAGAGGAATATAAGGAATATCATGCAGTCAGGTTTCATTGATATAGTATGCTGTCTGAAGCTGTCAGTCTGAGCTGCAGTCAGTCTGAGGTTGCAGTCTATGCAGTCAGGCCGAGGAGACAGTCTAAGGACAGGATACCCCTTTCCAGTGGTTGGCTGCTCTGCTTCTCTGTTCCTTCAGCTTTCACCACCTCATAGCTGACTCCGAGTTTTTATTATTAAGACCAATTAGAATTTATGCTACAACATTTCATATGGTAGATTGAGGAAAATGAAGCATAACACTAGTGATAAAATTATTATATTATGTATATACTAAAAGAGGGCTACAGTTTGGAATGTTTGACATGTCCAGCTGAAGTGGTTACAAGTGTGGAATGGATTAGCTGGTTTTGAATTCCAGCCCTGCAGTTTACAGTATACCTTGTGAATCTGTGTATTATGGGTCATCATAGCATGCACTTGGTAGGGCTGTTAATAGGAGTTAAATGAGTTGAAAGCGAAGTTCAGTGCATATTAGCAATTAATATCATTTAAAAAGTTTTACAAATAGCATGAAAGGAAAATTCCCTTGTATAAAAATGAGAACCTCTCAGGAACAAGCAGTTCACGCGCACATACACACAGCACACCGTCCCTACAGATGCCTCATACACATAAGAAGACTCACTGCTGAGTCACATGATGTCATTTTACACTATTCATGTCAGAAAAACCTTAAAAATGCCTATTGCAGGAGGATTTAGCCTCTGGGGAAAAATATAAATTTGTACCATAATTTAGAATAAAAATGCACACACCCTATATGACCTTAGCCTTTCATTCTTGTTACCTTCTCTTACAAAGTTCTGAATTGGAACTCTGTAGACCTTCCACTGACCTCTCCCAAGATACACAGCGGCTAGGAAGTTCCCCTGCCTGGATGTTTATAATAAGCTCTGCGCTGACCCTCCCTTACTTGTTCTTAAATGAAAGTTTTCAGGGTGTGACGGCTTCTTTCTAACCGTTTGAGGTCAGCTGGGAATTTCCGTGTACCATAATCAAGCACCCGTGTACTCAGAGCATCTGGTCCTTTCGTTTCCTGAGGCTGATACAGAGTTTCAAGTCTAGCTCCTCAGCCAAGCGTTCCAGTGCTCCATAATCTAATTTCTGCCCAACATTCTTTCCTTTCTTTTCCCGTTTCAACTTTCCCGTCTTAACACATCAACCCCTTTTTACCCCACCTCTAGGGTATGTGTCAGGTCTCACTAGGTAGCCTAGATTGGCCTCAAAAGATAATTTTATCTCAGTGTTTAGTTTGGAATTCTCTTTTCCTTTCCGTTTTTCAGTTCTGTACCATCCTTTAAGGATGAGTCTCAGTCACGCGCATTTAAGGAATCTTATTGATCTTTGCAAAGCACAGTAAATTTCCATCCTCCTGAGACTCTCTTTGGGGTGCTATTATTATTGCTGCTTATTAGGCATAAATAATAGATAACTTTTAGATAACTGTTAGATATGACAAAGCTGAGATGAACTTTTCAGCTCTAGGTAGCTGCTGTAAACAAAACTTATTACTGTTTTTGAGTTTTTATACAGTTTTGTTATGGCCTCCCAATGAAGTTATAGCCAGCTCATTACCAAAAAACAAAACAGACAAGATTAACTGAATAAATCTATGTCAGCATGTACTAGTTCAATCTGTACTAATTTGGGTAGAGATCAAGTGACATAATCCATTTAAAGAAAAGAAGAGACAAACGAGCCAAGGAGATCTAGTTATTCTCCTTGGGAATATAGCCTTCTAACTTGAAGTGTTGGGTGTAACTATATATAAACCTTAGTACTGAAAATGTTTTTCAAAGGACAGAGAGATGCTTCAGTGCATGAAAAAGGTACTTGCGGTCCAGCTGAGTTCCACCTTTGGAACCTGCATGATGAAAACAGAGAACCAGCTCCTCCAAGCTGTACTATACTGATCCCCACATGCATGCATGAAGCAAACACACATGCTCTCCAACAGACACACACACAGAGACACAAGCACACACCAAACAAACAAGTAAATAGAGAAATAAAGAAATTGAAATGTTTTTAAGAGGTTGGATGGATGACTTGGTGAGTAAAGGTCTTCCTGCGCAAGACTGCAAGCCAGGGCTTGGATCCCCAGTACCCATGAAAAGTCCGGAGAGTGGCTATTACAGCTGAATTGCTGAGTTCTAAATTCAATGAGAGACCCTATTTAAAAACAAAACAAAACAAAACCAAAAAAAAAAAAAACCAAGGTGAGCAGTGGTAGAGGAAGAAGATACCCAAAGTTGATTTCTAACCTTTGCCTGTGTGTACATGCATGCATGAATGCACACACACACGCCTAAATGAATTTTGTAGATAACTCAGTAAGTGCTTGTCTTGCTAACAGAAGGATCCTCAGAACTCATATATAAAAATCCAGGCATGATAACTTGTAATCACAGTGCTGGAGAAGTGAAAACAGCCAGCCAGTGAGTTTCAGGACTGTAATGGATCCTGTTATGTCCCCTCTTCTCCCTGACAGGCCTTCTCTATGTAGCCCTGGCTG